ATCAATCAAAGTCAGTGGACTCTTAAACTTCCAAAAGCACTGTGTGTTGGAATTTAGTGTTGTTGTAACTAAGCTGAACATGCTTCAAAGCCTCGCATTGAATTGTACCATATCGTTTTCTGGGATTGTATTTAATTAAGTAGTATGTCCAGCAAACATGGATTGTCATCCTTCAAATACAACCATACACACCTATTGACCTATTGTAACTACACGCCAGGACTGAGGCGATCAAACCTGCTACATGACGAGCTGACACTTAGGAATATGATGCGCCAAGAGCTTTGAGGAGGTACAGCATCAAAGTGCATCTTTACTTTGAGCTGTCCAGCGTTGAGGTTGAGTGTAGTGCTTGCAACTTTCTTAGGGCTCATACAGGTGCACAGGCTGTTTCTCGGATGTCTTCTGTGGCTTTGAGCGATATATGGGATCTCCTGATCTCCGCTGGGCTACCAAGGCTGACAAAGGGATGCAAACAACATATGGGTGTAGCCGTGTCAACGGGCTGATTTGGGGCACTAGTGGGCGATTGGGACAGCGATTCTTTCTAGAGAAAAGCCATCATCATAGGCTGTTCCTGACCAGTTGATCAGGAAACGCAACTAATGTAAGCAACTCTTCTTATTGACAATAAAGAACCACCAAAACGTGTGAAATCCATTGACATTCCGTGACGTTTTACAATCCATATGGGGGAGGTGGTATTTTTGTTGGAATGCTTCAGTTTCTGTCTCCTCCGAGTCGGAATCCCGACACCTCGAGGGCCCACCTGTGCCGCGGCCTTTTCACCGTGCAAGCGGACCTGGTTGGCCGTTGGTCAAGCCTGGTGGTTGATACCTTCTAAAAGTACACGAGGACAAGGATTGGGATACACTTCTTGAAGTGAAAACAACAAGTGAATATAGGTTCATATGTATATATTACACATACAATATAATAGGATACAATATAATATATATATATGTTTTGTGTGTGTGTTTGTTTGTTTATTGTATATATAATGTTTATAACAATGTATATATATAGAACCCAAAACGGTCTCAAAATCAAACAACTCCAAGTACATACATCACACCCAGGTGGCCTCATCAACTCAAACAATCAGTATCACAAAACTCACACCCACCCATGCATCCAATTCATTAAGTTCAGAGTCAATATGGTTATGGCATGGTGATGCATGGTGAATGTGTTCACTCAAGCGGTCGAGTTGAGTAGCTGTGTGACCTACTGTAGAACCTAACTTTCGATCCACTGTAGAATGGCTCTGGGTCCGGGCACTTTACCTCGCGACACCCAGGAGTCCAAGCTTTAATTTGACAAGACTGATTGTTTGATGTCAACGGAATTGAGATGTTCGGACTCTTGCTTGATCCACACGAGCCTGATTGAGATCAGCCTATCAGCCTCGGACCTGGTCACCGAGAAAGGGGTTGGATGGGGTTGGGAACATCTTGGCACATTGGAACGATGACAGCGGAGTGGACCCAATAGAGACAGCCTCGCAAACCATCCAAGGCTTGTTCATCTGTGTTTTGCTCGATGAGGGACACCTCCTCTCCCTACGAAAAGCCAACATAGACTATACCTCTTAGGGCGTCTCACAGTTCACATCTTTCAGAACTCCGGGGTGGCTTTGTGATGGCTTTGGATCCGGTCTTTCAGACGGCGGGCTCCGGGCCCCCGAACGGACCAACGTGCTTCCAGCACATCCCAGGTCGTGATCAAGCCTGCGGGACCAACGCTGAGGGACGTCGACCCTTTGTTTTGATCTGTTTTTATGGTCGACGTGATTGATTCGGTCACCAAACGGTCTGAGATTCGGCGAATGACCCTGTTTCAAAGACTCCCTGAAATCATGGAAGTGGATGGGCTCGGATGACCGCAAGCGCGCCAAGCGAAACGTGGGACCCGTCACTTTCCAGGACTCCTGATTTCGCTCTCTAAAAGTCGGCGGGTTCGCCGGCATGGACACGGCATCTTCGCCGGTGGGCGACCAAAAGGCCCATCTCCTCTACGGTAAGGGTGGTGTTTCCCCCCTGGCCCCGCACCCGGACGTCCCATCGAAGCGAGTTTTTGGAGGGGGCGGGCAGTTGGAGCCCTATAAGTATGATCTCACGGCAGTTGATTGATCGTATCTGCTCAGCTTCGTCTTCGTGGTTCCGTGACCCTGTTGGAGTACCGAACAGAAAGGGCCGCGTGACCGAAGAACGAGCTTCACCAAGCAGGAGATCAAGTTCGGTCACTTTTGAAGAAGCTAGTATAGTACATGATGTGACATGAAGTGTGAATCATCGCATCTGATATTTGGAACATTTTGGAACCCAAGTTATCCCAAGTTATAGTATACTTGACCAGCCGGAACTTAGGAATGTAGCTTCGAATCCTGGTCACTGTCCCAAAGAGGATCGACACTGGTCTGAGGAGATATCTCAAGGGACACCCTACAGGTCTCGTAGACCTCATTGGAGGTGATCATGCAAAAACACTACTGAATGAGGCAAAGGACCAGGTTTTACTGGGTCTTTGGAAGTGCAGGAACAAAACGAGACTTTGCTTTTGTCAAGTGGCTAACAGGATTCTTGACAATTCTTACTTCCATTGAGAAACATGATAGAAACCTGATATTCAAGACCGCATGACGGATCAAATTATTAACATCCTTTCTCCTTCAAAACTGGGTTTGGTGGTATGCCATGTGGCTTTGACTGATATCCACTTGCTCGCCTCACTTCACCACACCACACGCCGATGTGGTCCGGCTGTACCCAAGTGTCGGTTCAGCCCGTTAGGTCCAGAGGTTTCAAGGTCCACCACGGGTCAGGGATTACCCAAACGCCCAAGGGTTGAAGTCTCTGCTGGTAGCTCATGCTGTACAAACCACCAACGCCCCACAGCTCAAGGGCCTTGAAGGCCATTGAGCTCCGGACGCACCTGTGCCAGAAGCGATCACAATTGGTTCCAAGAGGACATTCTTTCCTCGATGTGGCCAGAATTCGTGCTAGGGTGCTCAAGCACCGTTTGGATCAACTATAAACAACCCACAAAAACAACAACGGCTGCTAGCAGCCACCTGGCTGCCGAATGCTTGCTCATCTGATTTGCGGAAACTGGGCCTGGCTGAGAAGGTCAACCTCGCAACAAAAATGGGTGTTACCATGTTTTACCTGCTCTTCATCTGTTTTACCTGCGACCCAAACTTTCGGAGTCCCCGTTTGTTTCGGCGAACCATTGACCTGGACCTGGCTCTGTGACTCTCTGTGACCGAAGCAAACAGGATATCAAGATCGGTCATGAACTGAAGAGCGCAAGAACATACTTCTTTCGTACCCGGATCCTTGGACCCTCCATGGGGTTCGGGGTCGAACCCTCTAGTTCACAAGGGGCCCTGGGGCCCCGAACCAAACGCTTGTTTTGTTTCGGGTGCGGATCCTTAGGGTCGGGAACATCCAAAATCATGCTTAGCAGCAAAACCAGGCTTTCCATCGGAGTCCAAGGGTTCCGAGGATGTTGAAGGTCTCTTGCGTTCGGGGTTGTTACATCGGAGGTGCGGCCAACTAGCTGCAGTCATGAAGACCACTTGGTCTTCACATGAATCACAGGAAGACCCAAAAGAGATCGTGGATGCTGTTGTTTACATCTGGGGAACCCGCTTCTGTCGTTCCCCAGGATCGGCAGGCAAGATCCCTTTCATTCGATGTTCGCAGCATGGTCTTTTTGTCGCTGATTCCAAGGGCTCAAAGCGCTCCGAAACTGTACAGTCTCCGATCAACCGATCGAGACCGGCATCTTCCGTCGGACAGAGGAGCTCCACCAGGCTGAAAGGCCCCTCAGGATCGCAGCATGGATCTTGATCCTGAGACATCAACATGTTCCATCGTTCTTGTTCCACTGGATTTGTGTCCCAGACCCGCGGACAAAACATATATGTCCGCGCCAGTCCTGGCGGAAAGCAGCTCCGCTGCTACTGTTCGTTGGCACTACTACGCATGCTTTCCCAAGGTCTATGTCCAGAAATTTGAGGTCAAACTGACCTGTAGGGAATGCGATGGACACCCGTTGCAGGGTGGGAGCAGGGCCCACTTTTTTGGTGGCTGATAGATACTGTCAGTGCACACTGTGGGGAGCAGATACATACCGGATCATCTGAGTAGTAAAACAATGAGAGATGAAGAGGTAGATATACAATCTGGGGAAAGAAAGCACAGTTGTAAAGTGACATGTTTGGTCTCTTACCGGGTTCTAAACAAAATGCCATAAGAACTCTTGAGTCACCCTACCCCCTCTTTCAATCTCGTATGTGCTGACGTGAATGGTTCTTCTTCTGAAGGCCGTTTAGACCAAGGTTCATGCGGCAACACTGAAGTTTAGGGTGGAACGATGACATGGAACAACTATTGGGATGGCTGTGCTTTGTTTAACCGGTATGTTCATATATATATATATACATCCTTTTGAATGTATCAATAAAGTTGAATAAAGTATAGTAGTCGTATAAATTGTCTATTATATAACAATAAATCAAAAGAACAGCTAAATAATTAACAATAACACACCTTCTTCCGGTTTACAATATTTTTTTTAATGTTGTTCATCTGACTTTTGACACACCATGAACGCTTGGAGAAAGAACCCATATCCAAGAAATTCAACAAACACAATTAAACTTGAATCTCGGTGTGATCCACATCTTTAAAGACCTATTTGCAATAAATCCAAAGATATTCTGCAAAAAAAACAAGTTGTTCAAACAGCATGAACATGATGTTGCCATCTTGCCCGATGCCTTGTCTGGACCCTCAAAATCCTGCCAAACATACGAACCTCACAGTCTGAAGAAGGAACAAGTCCTGCTCTTTCTGTCCGACTCTTTGGATCAACATACTAATGTCCTGCCAAAAATATCTGAATTAATAAGACCAAATGACATGTGCATTTGGGTTGTAAAGAATTCTTGACAAAAGGTTCTTCTATGTCCAAGACGACCTGCTATACTCAGGTCACTTTGGACTCATCAAAGCTATGCCCCCACCCAATGGGGATGTCGGAGCTGGCCGAAGCTCGCATTGCTTCTCGAAGGAGTTCCGGAAGACATGATACCTCAGGTTCTCTTCCCCACGGCGCAAAGCCGATTGAAAATTAAGGTGTGACCCGATCGCATCGAGCTGTAAGTGGTCTCCAAAACAAAACTGCCAAAACAAAAATGAACGAATCTGAACCACTAATAAGCTATTTGCGGGGATAGACTAAAATCAGTCAACCTCCCTTCGCCATCCGTGATCGAATTCGGGGGATGACTTCGAAGGCGTGAAGAGTGTCCTTCAACATTGACCGAGGCTGGACTGGTGATGTTCCGTTCGTGGCGAACCCTCAAAAAATACCAAACGTGCCTGGATGAACCCTGAAGATCCCTGAAGTCTGACCGAAAAAAGGCCGCCTCTGTGAGAGTACTCACAACGACATGGTCATGCACAGCACGTGTGCAAAATGTCATGCACACACGAGTGACGTTCATCAACAGCCTCGTTTTTGGTGTGGGTCCTGATGTCGATTGGATGGTCCTGAAAACAAGTCACGCGAAGCGCTCGGTACTGATCAAGAGAGCATCCACATTCACACATTCACCCTTGGCATAGAAGGGGCCCTTGTCCAGGGTAAACCTCAGTCGAAGTGAGTTGCTCAATGCTGTTGTTTCATGCAAGTTTGCTGATCCTTGCTTGATGCAAGCAAGAAGCATCACGTGCAGCATACCTCTGTAGCAAATAAAGTAGAGATAGCAAGCCATCAACGGCCAGAATTGAATGCAGGCATTCGTGTCCTTGTACATCTTCGCGGGATAGCCTGCAGCTTCAAGACAAAAGAATGTCCTGGTCGGTAAGGGAATGAATGGCACATGCTGTCCCCTTCAAAGATGGAATACAATCACCACCACCATCGTCCGGACCATCGTCCCATTCTCTTCGCCACTTTCTCAAAAGCCCACATCGAAACAGGTGGAATTGTTCAGGGTCATTGGGAGAAAAGAATCTTCTCGAAGCTTGGAAAGCAGGAAAAGGGACACATGGAAATGCTCCTAGTAATACATATAGCATCGCTACTAGGAGCAACGACGCTACTAGTAGCTCCTGGCATCGCGACTAGTAACAAGAAGCTACTAGTAGTCAGCTTGCTGTCACACCTCCTTGCAGGTCCTGGACCATGAATTTGGTCTGCAATCACCTTTTGAAATGGTAAAGAACCCTTCCTCTAGACTTTGCTACTGACCTTCTCACGCGAAGGCCTGGAGGAGGTAACCAGGTAGGACATGATAGGAATCCTTTTCTGGTAGGGTGTTTCAACTCACAAACGAAAGATGTGTGTCAGTGGGTTGAATCATCCCAAATAAAACTTGAACATGAACATATGTCAAACCACCCTAGTATTGGAACTTCACGTCGCATTCATGCACGGGTGAATGGGCTCTCGCAAGATCTCGCGAGAACCTTTGATTTGATATCGTGTTTTTGAAGTACGGCAACATCTTTTCTGAAGCAGCATCTGCACCGAAGTCACTGCACCATCATGTCATATATGCATGATGGTATGGTCCAGGTCGTGTCCCATGAAAAACACATCTGGACACTGTGAACCTCCGTTCTGAGTTCTGTGATTACATCCCACAAGAGGTCAGCGTCCCACAGAACAAACCCACCGCGACCGAGCGCGGACCCACCACGACCCACCGCTGAAACATGCTGAAACGCTCCAAAACGGTGGAGCGGGGAACGAAACGGAGCGCGGAGCGGCGGTCCACAGTGTTGAGTAAGCGAATAAATGAACACCCTTGGCCCTGTTACGTACCATCATGAGTTCAAAAAAGCCCTTCTAGGGTTAGTAAGACATACAAAAGGGTTCCTGACCGTCGGCTTGATCAGAAGCGCTCTCCTTTGTTGGACATTCGGAAGGCTACGGTTTCAGAGGTTCGATGGCACTGGCACCCCAAGATGTGACTGTTGGTCAAAACCTGGGAACCCTGGTTTTTCCCACAGAACATGAACAGAATAAACGACCTACGAGAGGTCCACCTACCAGGGTGAGTGACATGGGCGAAACGGGTGCGACCCACAGCCATGTCTGTCGACAAATGACATCAACCCGACCACCGACCCTGGGGGAGCACGTGCCATCTACTCTCAATCCACTATCCCTAGGGATCCATGATCCAGTCGTTCCTTCTCAGCTGTTTGGAGACACTGTGATGTAGGTGCCAGGAGGCTCCAGTCGTACCGAACCTGAGGTTCGGTCCGACTGGAATCCCAGGGTCTAACGAACGAATCAAAACACCTCTGCCTCTGCGGCCCTGCGGAGCCGCTGTTTTCGTCGAGCATCCCAACAGCGCCAAGAGCAGGAGCGTATTCCTCGGAAAGAGCTCCGTCGTCGAACGATGGAGAAAGCATCAACAACAACTGTAGACTCTTGAGTCTTGAATAGATTTATCATTTGAGTCCCCCTAATATGAGGAGTTTGTTCCAATCCAAATGGGGGAATTTACTAATCAAGAGTCTACATTAGTGGCTTTGTACCCAGTCGGGGCTCAAAAGCTATGTCTTTGAATGTAGGCTCATGCATAATGCCTGGCCTTTTTGGATCGTCATTGTGTTTAGTGCCATTAGTGATGCCTAGTGACTCAGAATTCCATGAGGGAACAAAAGGTCATCCTTGGCTTACTGCAACTTGGATAGCAATGTTTTGATACCACAGAGCCAAAATGCTGCCTGTTCTTATCAAAACAAGGGTCAACAAACATGCATGTCCTGCATGTCTTGGCTTTTGATACCTTCATCTTACGAACCCCCAAAGAGACTCTCCTGTCCGTATTGCCTCCCTCAAGTGATCCTCCTTCCTTGGCGAAGCATTTCTTACCAATGAGTCTGGCCAAAATGCAGCGGCCAAGTCTCGTGATGATCAGCATCATCATGCGAACGATCTGCGGTGGAGCTTTGCAAGGCATATCCTGAAGGAGCGAGCCGCGACTCACCGAGAGTAGCTGCCACATGCTGTGACCAGAAAACACCGGTTCTGTGCCTCTTATGTACCTTGATTGGAGCCAAGCATTTGATTCAACGAGCTGGGGGGCCCTTTTCATTGCCCTGCGCTTCGGAGTTCCCCACATGTGGTTCCACTTCGAGACGCGAGTGGATGTGAGCAATCCCCTTTTTGAGGTTTTATGGATACATGGATTGTTGGGAACATGACATTTGGTGTTACCCTGACCCAAATGTTTAAATCCACCATGATACCCTGGACATCATTGTTGAATTCTGCGCCGCTCTGGCACTTGACCTGCAATCAAAGTCTGTGACCATACAACCAAGCGCTTCTGAAATGAAGCGACAAAACACACATTCTGACTGGTGCTTAGAAGGGAATGAGATCCAATAGAATCTCTATTGGGGGCTCATTCCCTTATTCCCTACTAAGCACCAGTCAGCATTTGAGGACACATACACACATAACAAACAGTCTTGAGGTTTTGGAACGATTTCCATGCAAATACACCAAGCACTGAATGAACTGATGACCCAAACGCACGAAACATGTTTCACACACATATCCCTACAGGTCTTTGACCTAATTAATGTTACTGGAGGGTGTTCCTGCTTCTTCCAAACAACATCCGTGGATTCAGCCGAGAGGACAGCAGGTGGATTTGCGTGAAACATTTGCTTTAGATCCTTTTTTTTGGTCGAGGCTCATTGAGACCTGCTAGAATACTCCTCAAGTCGCAGAATTTCCTCATGAAGACATCTGTCTCGTCACGTTGCACACGTTCCGCCTAAGTGCTGAGAGTCGCGTTCCTCATGAGTGGCTACACTGACATGTGGGTTTGAAACAGCTGGGTGATGCTGAAGGCTCTGTTAGGCTCTGTTGGGTTGACGCCCTATGGCGGGCGGCTGGGGTGGCACACGTATGTATTTGTTTTATTAGATTAACACATTGTATGGATCCCAATACGAAGGTCGGTCATTGTACCGGTGTTGGGGTGAAACCACTGTTCGATCTTCGAATTCGAGTCACAAGTCGCCGCCACAAAAATCACTGCTGGCAACAGATGTTTTGGGTAACCAGTGCCCATGAGACATATGAATCCCAAACACTCCATGGGACTGACCCCGAAAAACCACCCCTGGCCGTTTATCGGCAGTCCTATGGCAGTCCCATGGGTCGTGTCTGGGAATGGTTTGAGTGTGAAGTTGAATCCAAGTTGTTGGAGCAATCATTGAAATACCACAGATCGACCGGCCGTTGAAGCAACCTCACCCATTGGCAGTTGACATGCTCGACACAAGTGGAACCTCACCAATGACGTCAGGCACCTGCCAACATCCATCAACATCCCATCTATTTCAGGCAGATTTGACACTGAAAGCCACCAAGTCGATTGAAAGACCTAGCTTGGACGATTGATCATCGAAAACCCTTTGGGGCTCATTGGGTTCCCTTTTTAGGGTTGTTCACGGCAGCGTCTTAATGAAGTCGTGGGGGGCCGCGTCGACCGCACGCGTGCGTGCGCAGCGCCGGCACGTCCACGCGCGGCGTGTGCCTCCAGTTCTTCGTGCCAAAGCCGTCCGAGCCAACTGGTGAGCGTGTCTCGCACCTTGCGGCCCAGCGTTTGGGCGAGCAGCCCAAGCAGTTTTTGGGCAGCTGCACATGTTTTTTGCGTCAGAATGGGCCGGTATGAAACAAGCACATGTTTGATCATGTTTGTATGTAACCAGGCCTGCTTTCTCGCTGCACCAGAAAAAGAACCAATTGCCTCTTTTTGGGGTTCAAGAAACGAGCAGATTCGCACTGATTTCTAAGACCTTCGGAATATAGTTACTCGCCAAACGGCCTAAGTCCCAAGCGCGCTAGAATTGGTACTTGATGCTTCAAGTAGCTTTGAGCCACCATAAACGCTCCATTTTGATCCACCTCCCACTCCAAACACACCCTGCAGTCATGAGAGTCAGGCGCCTTGGCTGAAGAGTAGCGCAGGCGCTCGGCCTCCGTGTGCGTGAGGAGCCCCACGGTCTGCAAGTCTTGCAGCGCCGTCTCAGCGCTGCTGCCGATGCTGGGGACCAAATTCCTCTGCGACGCGTCCAGGTCTCGCGGCGGGGAAGCAGCGACGCATCGCTGGACGGAAGGACCACGTACTGGACGTAGGGACCAGTGCGGGACGTATCGTGCGGACCACGCGCTTTTGGAGTTGCGAAACAGAAAGCTCAGTTAGCGAGAGAATTCCGCAGGTGCAGTGACCACAATCATGACAGGCTATTCGGATGTCACTGAAACAAACCCGGTGAGCAAAGTATTTGTTGGAGTGTGAGATCAACGATGTTAAAACTGTCGAATGAGATCTCCAACCTTGGCTCTCCCTTTAACCTGCTCTCGGCCAAGTGTCTTTCCATATTATGAGGTGATCAACCTTGTGCTCTGTGAAATGGCACCCCAACTAACAAACTTCATAAGTACAAAGCCAGAAGATGCTAGGACTATAAACAGGACACTCCAAAGTCCAACAGAAGAAGCCACAAAGTGGAATGCATTGGAAATCCTTTTGGATAATTTGCCTGTGGGTAGGATTGGGTAGGTTCATGGTACGTGGGCGGCTGAGGGTTTTGCAGCTTCTATAAAATGCATTGTCTGCAGTTTGATCATGAGTTTTTAGGGGTTTGGGACCTACAAGATTTCGGGAAAAAAGGTATGAAATTGCATGAAATTGTATTGCTTGTCGCTGACTTAGGTCTTGGGATGCTCTGAAGAGATTTGGAACGGTTTGTATGGATGATAAGGATTGGGTGTATATATATATATATATGTCATCATAGGTGGATCAATGAGGGGTTTGCTGCCTTCTCTGCAATGACAACAGTCTTCTCTGCAATGACGGCATTCCAAATGTCTTATCAACTATGACCTAGGATGATCTGTTTGAAAAGGACACACTCTACATAACGCCATGCTCAGGCTTTGGCCTTATTAGGGGGTACCCTCCAGTGAGCAATGGATCTATGAATTCCATTTTGTAGATTTCAAGGTTTCCCATAGAAATCCATGCACTGGGTATACTATTCTGTTCACCTTCCTCCTTCCTGGCCTCAAACATCGATTTCGGGACCCTGTATGACCTTGCTCTCCGACAGGGAGTTCGGGAGCTCTCGTTGGAGTTCGTTCGGACCGTTGGGACCTTTCATCGACCTGCGACGGACGAACGTGGCAGCGGACATGACCTCATTCTCTCGTCGACTCTACGGGCGGAAACGTCCCACAGTCCAACAGCTGAGAGTCCCGACATGACCTCATTCTCTCAGAAGCTGTCGGACTCTCAGCTTCTATATGATGATCGGTCCCAGGGAAAACTGAAATAGCTCACGATGACACGATTGATTCATCAGCTTCTGATCTTGGACAAGATGCAAATAGGCCAAATAGTGGATGGCATTGAAATAGCGGTACCAGCGAAACATGGCCTTCCGCTGCTCGTGCCCACATCTGGGATCATTGACCCTGCGGTAGGAGCTATTCACAATCAGAACCAAATCCTTAGCAAGTTCGGTTCTGAACATCAAGTTTATACAGTGACAGTTTCGGAGCGAAACACATGAGAAACTGGACCTCAAACAAGTTCAAACAGCGGTCATTCGCAGGATCCTCCATCCCTGGTCTTGGGGACTTTGACCCGGGGCGTGGCTGGCGCCCGAGCTTTGGGAGATCTGGAGGCTCCTGGATCATGCATTTTCACTGCGAGCATCGTGCAAACGGCCCTGCACTTGCAGCATCTTTTGTAGCCACTCATGCCAGCGGCTCACATCTTGTCCTCCGCAAACAAACCAAAATAGGACAGAGGGCGCAGACAAATGGGAGACGTTTGTTGTTCAGTTCTCCCATTCCGTGTGCCACGGGAGCCTCCTTCTCCAACAACATGACTAGAGTATGTACAGTATATATGTGTTTTCACTTCAAGCCGAGTCCCAAATGTTCATCAAATATGTTCGACCAATCATTGCTGATCATTTCCTCTATCCCTCTTCCCACCATCCGCGGCAACCGCGACAAAGACCTCGACCACTTCCAGCAAAAACAAACTTAGACGGTTCGACCGTGTTCAACACACCTCCCAAGTTCAACAATGTTCAACATCCCATCCTCCGTGCTTTGCCACTGGCATTCTACAAAGGACCAAGCACGGAGGATAACATCCGCAGCACCTCACCCTCGCGTGTCCTATCATGTAGGTGATGAGAAAGACCGGCAAAAAGTCAATGCCCTGAACGATGGTCGACACCGTCTCCATACCTCTGGCGCGTCCGCCGAACGCTCACGGACGCCGCCTGACGTGGGGATCTGGGACTTTTCCTACAGATATCTAGGGATCCACTGCCACCTTCTCAGAAGGTACGACTGGACCCTCTGGTGCGCCTACACAAGTAGTCTCCCCGCGCACCGTACCTCAGGTTCGCTCTATGGATCCTATGAGAATCAGGTGCAGTGAAGGGCATACCACGCCACGCCATCTTTGATCCACAGGGGGTTGGTACCATGTTCCGTTCCTCCAAGGCCTTCCAAACATCTCATCCACGTGATCAGGTTTGTGGACTGTGTGGATCTGTTCATGTACCCCTACACCTCCAGTCGTACCTTCTCAGAAGGTATTTGAACCCTCCTGGCACCCACCCCAGTCCCACCTTCTCAGAAGGTACGACTGGAGGCCTAGGGGTACTAAAGCTACCTAATGGTTTTGTGATATTTTTCGAACAACTGAACCGTTTACGAACGGTCCGGACCTATAGAGCCGTCCAGGTATGGCGCCAGATGTCTCACGATTGGCGACTCCCGCCCGTCCGAGGTGCCAGGTTCTATGCCGATAGCCCGTCCCATGAGCGACTCATGCAAGTGTCAAGCCCCTGTCCTCTGAAGACCCCACACTACTTTCAAAGCGAAGTGGACGACGCCCGGCCCGGCGCTGTTAACATCAAGGGGCTGCTCAAAAAGTCCAGGTATGGCGCCTCTCACACACACACATCCCGATATCGAGATTCTGTGGTTGCTGTCAATCCCAGAAGCATATTATTTACCTATAATGTTGACTCTTGATTAATAAGCTCCCCCCCGCCCTATCAACAATTAAGACTCCAGAACAATATGCTAGAAAACCAATCAATTGATAAATAAGGAATCCTTAGCTAGCTACCTCTGGAGCTACTCTGGCAATACTAAAATGAAAGGAATCATTACTTAGCTATCTCTGTTTGTCAATACTAAAAATGAAAGGAATCATGTCTTAGCTATCTCTAAATGTAGATTTCCATTGGGATTTTGAAAAGAAAGTGCGCACATACTTTTGGAAGTTTTGGAATCCTTAAAGATGAAAGAGCTTTTGAAAAGTAAAGCATTGATGATAACTAAGCACAGCAAAGCTAAAGGAAAAGAAAACAAAAGAAAAAGGATCAGTTTCAAGAAATTCAAGAAAGCTGCAATCCAAGAAGCTCCAAATCTCTAGACATTAATCTAGGGGCCCCCCC